TTTTACAGTGGCTTACCAAGGGCAAGAACCTTGAACTTTCGATATCCTTTAGAGACAGCACTTGAAATTGCGCTTCGCTCCGCACAAATCGTCGCTTCACGTGACACAACCTCGCAATTAGCTAAAAAGAAAACTCACACTTTAATATTGGTTCGATCCCCCCGATAAACTTCTTTACCAACCTCCTACGATCACTGTGTTATCAGCTGTCAAGATGGCGGCACCACAAGGAAGTCTGCTGTATGGGCTGCAAAAGTGTACAAGCCTAAGCATAGTGTAGAGAGCACCACAACGTTGCTTTTTTCTAGTACAAGGGCTTCCCATTTATCTGTTTTCATTTTAGGTGAGTTCACAATCTCGCACAGTTGAATGCTACAGTACTTAACTCGTCCATTCTATCAGAAGTTTTGTCGCGAAAACGCCACTTCCGCTACAGCGTGAACAAGACATTGCTATAAACGCTGCAATTATGATTACGCTATAGCCCTTATATGTTTGTATAGACGAGCGTATTTCGTTCGTGTGCACAAATGCACACCGTGCGCATACTGGAAGAAACTTAGGCCAAAGGGACCGCACCCTTTGGCTTTTCTGAACTACTTTCTCCATATTACAAATTTTTTACGCTTTAGTACGACCGAACGAATACTCTTTTATTATTACTAAATAGCTAGTGACTCGAAGCATCTTTTCATATAATTTACCTATGTGCGAAAACACAAGGTCAAAAGGCAGAGAACACTAAGAAAGTGCCTTGAAGTAGTTTATGGGAGAGAGGCAATCTAACTGGCGTGAGGTATTTTTCAGAATGACCGGTCCGGTGTGCAACGGCACAGGCAAGCAATGTATTACTGTATTTGTGAATGTATGCTTGTCAATAAATCAATCATTTTTTCCAAACACACTATTGTTCATTGTGGAAGAGTAGATTCGGTTGCGCCTTCTGTGGTGGTCGAGAATTTGATGAAGACATAAGACCAGTTTCATGTCAGCATACATTGAGACA